GTGTGTGTGTGTGTGTGTGTGTGTGTGTGTGTGTGTGTGTGTGTGTGTGTGTGTGTGTGTGTGTGTGTGTGTGTGTGTGTGTGTGTGTGTGTGTGTGTGTGTGTGTGTGTGTGTGTGTGTGTGTGTGTGTGTGTGTGTGTGTGTGTGTGTGTGTGTGTGTGTGTGTGTGTGTGTGTGTGTGTGTGTGTGTGGTGTGTGTGTGTGTGTGTGTGTGTGTGTGTGTGTGTGTGTGTGTGTGTGTGTGTGTGTGTGTGTGTGTGTGTGTGTGTGTGTGTGTGTGTGTGTGTGTGTGGTGTGTGTGTGTGTGTGTGTGTGTGTGTGTGTGTGTGTGTGTGTGTGTGTGTGTGTGTGTTGTGTGTGTGTGTGTGTGTGTGTGTGTGTGTGTGTGTGTGTGTGTGTGTGTGTGTGTGTGTGTGTGTGTGTGTGGTGTGTGTGTGTGTGTGTGGTTGTGTGTGTGTGTGTGTGTGTGTGTGTGTGGTGTGTGTGAGGTTGTGTGTGTGTGTGTGGTGTGTGTGTGTGTGTGTGTGTGTGTGTGTGTGTGTGTGTGTGTTGTGTGTGTGTGTGTGTGTGTCGTGTGTGTGTGTTGCGTGCGTGCGTGCGTGCGTGTGTGTGTGGGTGCGTGTGTGTGTGCGTGTGCGTGTGTGTGTGCGTGTGCGTGTGCGTGTGCGTGTGTGTGTGTGTGTGTGTGTGCGTGTGTGTGTGCGTGTGTGTGTGTGTGTGTGCGTGTGTGTGCGTGTGTGTGTGTGCGTGTGTGTGTGTGTGCGTGTGTGTGTGTGTGCGTGGGTGCGTGCGTGCGCGTGTGTGTGTGTGTGTGTGTGTGTGTGTGTGTGTGTGAAAAACACCAAATTTTATACTTAAGCTTTATTCCAGCCTGCGGTGAACTGATTAGATTTTGGACAGAGTCGGAACATTTGGGGGGGTACTTTATTGGTGGTCATTTTTATATTTTATGGAATATATCCGTTTGGAGAAGAAAATTCTTTAAATAAAAGTTACTTACAATATTATTATCTATAATTTTTTTTTAATACAAAATTTTCCTCAAATGGTCCTTATTCGAGAAATTTGACAAAATGTAAAAAAATTTATTTTTTATAAAAATTATTCAAATAAAAGTTGTTTGTAATATAATTCTCTATAATTTTTATCCTACATAATTTTTCTAAAATGGACCGTATTCGAGATATTTGAGAAAATGGGTAAATTTCGAATTTTGAAGAAAACTCAAAAACGGATAAAGGAAAAAACATTAAATTTTAAACTTGTTTTATTTCGGCTTAACGTGAAATGATTAGATTTTGAACAAAGTCGGAACATCTGGGGGGGGGGCTGTTTTTATGGAATATATCTGTTATTTATGTTTGGAGAAGAAAATTGTTTAAATAAAAATTACTTCTTATATTATTATCTATAATTTTTGTTATATGCCAAATTTTCTTGAAATGGTCCGTATTCGAGAAATTGGACAGAATGTGCAAAATTCGAATTTTTAAACTAAAAGTTGTTTTTGATATAGATCTCTATAATTTTTGTTTTTACTTTCCTATCTGTATACAGATATAAGGAAAGTATAGGAATCATGATTTTTTTCGACCTCGAGTTTTCGACGGATTTTTACGTTTTGAGGTCCCCTGAATCCGTTTTGACTATTTTCGCGATGATGTCTGTGTGTGTGTGTGTGTGTGTGTGTGTGTGTGTGTGTGTGTGTGTGTGTGTGTGTGTCTGTGTGTCTGTGTGTGTGTGTGTGTGTGTGTGTGTGTGTGTGTGTGTGTGTCTGTATAACGCATAACTCATGAACCGATACACAGAAAAACACCAAATTTTAAACTTAAGCTTTGTTTTAGCGTCCAATGAGCTGATTAGATTTTGGGCAGTGTCGGAACATCTGGGGGGGTACTTTATAGGTAGTCATTTTTATATTTTATGGAATATATCTGTTATTTACGTTTGGAGAAGAAAATTCTTCAAATAAAAGTTACTTCTAATATAATTATCTATAATTTTTGTTTTATGCAAAATTTTCCTAAAATGGTCCGTATTCGAGAAATTTGACAAAATGTAAAAAACATAATTTTTTATAAAAATTGTTTAAATAAAAGTTGTTTGTAATATAATTATCTATAATTTTTGTCCTATACATAATTTCTCTAAAATGGACCGTATTCGAGATATTTGAGAAAATATGTAAATTTCGAAATTTGAAGAAAACTCAAAAACGGATAAAGGAAAAAACATTAAATTTTAAACTTAAGGTTTATTTCGGCCTGACGTGAAATGATTAGATTTTGGACAAAGTCGGAACATCTGGGGGGGTACTTTATGGGAGGCCGTTTTTATATTTTATGGAATATATATGTTATTTATGTTTGGAGAAGAAAATTGTTCAAATAAAAGTTACTTCTAATATTATTATCTATAATTTTTGTTTTATGTCAAAATTTTCTGAAATGGTCCGTATTCGAGAAATTTGACAAAATGTGCAAAATTCTGATTTTTATGAAAATTGTTGAACTAAAAGTTGTTTGCGATATCGATTTCTATAATTTTTGTTTATACATGATTTTTCTAAAATGGACCGTAATGGAAAAGTGCTAAATTTAAATTTTTCTGTATTTTCGTTTTCAATGAATATCTATAGACAAATGTTTCGAGGTAGATGTATGTGTAAAATGTATATAAAGGGTGTCCCAACAAGAGCGCCGGATTTAATTTGAAGGAAAAACACATTTATGTTTTGAATTAAGTCAACATTTTTATTTTAACATAAAGAAAAATGGTTACGATTAAACGTGAAATACAACATCAGGCAAATGGCCACCACGAAACCTCTGGCACAGAGTTATTCTTTTGGTGAAATTTTGAATCACGTTTTTGCATAAATGAGGCTGTATTTCACCAATAACGTGCCGTATTTCCTCTTTAAGATGTTCCACTGTTTCAGGCTTATTTGCATACACCTTTTGCTTCACATAGCCCCAGAGAAAAAAGTCCATCGGCGTTAGATCGCATGATCTTGGTGGCCAATGGTGATTGCCAAAACGAGAAATGACACGGCCTGGAAACTTAGTCTGCAGTAACACCATTGTTTCACGAGCTGTGTGGCAGGTCGCACCGTCTTGTTGAAAAAACATGTCCTCCACATTAATTTCATCCAATTCGGTCCACAAAAAATCCGTTAACATCTCGCGATATCGCTCACCATTAACAGTTAGCGCATTTCCAGCCGCATTCTCAAAGAAATACGGCCCAATCACTCCGCCAGCCCAAAATGCGCACCAAACAGTTACTCGTGGTGGATGCATTGGTTGTTCAAGTATCACACGAGGATTTTCAGCACCCCAAATCCGACAGTTTTGTTTATTTACATATCCGTCGAGTTGAAAATGTGCCTCATCTGAAAACATTATTTTCTTCGAAAAATCCGCATTAATTTGATGATGCTCCAACACCCAATCAGCAAATCCACGGCGTTGCGCATGGTCTCTTGGCTTGATTTCTTGCACCAATTGAACCTTGTACGCATGCAAGTGCAGATCTTTTACCAAAATTCGTTGCATAGTGCCTCTGGAAATGTTTAATTCTTGACCACGATGCCGAATGGAAGTTCCCGGATTCTCGGTCACAGATTCCCTTACTGCGGCTATATTTTCGAGTGACCGACAAGGACGACGACGTACAATGGTCTTCTGATCCATCAGCGTAAATTTGGTCTCAAATTTTGTAATTAAACGCCTCACAGTCGATTCATTTGGCGCATCATGACGACCGAAAATTTGACGTAAATGGCGAACTGTTTTCGCAAAACTTTCACCATTTTTGTAATGTGTTTTTACAATAATTAAACGTTGTTCATTTGAATACTTCTCCATATTCTTAAATCGCGCGGTCTGTAGGTGACATCTGTCAAAAAAAATTGACAGTGCAACTCGTATTAACAAAATGGCGGCAAATTTAAATCCGGCGCTCTTGATGGGACACCCTTTATTTAGTTTATCCTCTAAAAATTTATAGAGATGCTGCAATAGGTTGTACAAAATAACCGGAAAATGCCTATAATAACTAGATAGGAAAGTCATGTGTTGGACACATCAGATTTTTTAAATGATTTTTCTAAAATGGACCGTAATAGAAAAATTGGAGGAATAGTACCATACGTTTTTATCTCTCTAGGCAATATTTTTAGAGTTACTACTTTGTATATCTTTGTTTTATATGGTAAATAATAAATTATTATTATTATTATTATTATTATTAAATTTAAATTTTTCAGTATTTTCGTTTTCAATGAATATCTATAGAAAAATATTTCGAGTTATATGTATGTGAAAAATGTATATATTTAGTTTATCCTCTAAACATTTATAGAGGTGCTGCAATAGGTTATACAAAATAACCAGAAAAAGCATATAATAACTAGATAGGAAAGTCATGTGTTGGACACATCAGATTTTTTAAATGATTTTTCTAAAATGGACCGTAATAGAAAAATTGGAGGAATAGTACCATACGTTTTTATCTCTCTAGGCAATATTTTTAGAGTTACTACTTTGTATATCTTTGTTTTATATGGTAAATAATAAATTATTATTATTATTATTATTATTATTAAATTTAAATTTTTCAGTATTTTCGTTTTCAATGAATATCTATAGAAAAATATTTCGAGTTATATGTATGTGAAAAATGTATATATTTAGTTTATCCTCTAAACATTTATAGAGGTGCTGCAATAGGTTATACAAAATAACCAGAAAAAGCATATAATAACTAGATAGGAAAGTCATGTGTTGGACACATCAGATTTTTTTACCATTCTGCAGATACATCTTTCTAGGTACCAAAATTATACCTATTGTACATAAAAGAACTCTTCTGAGTTAATTTCCTGCTCTAAAAATCGTAGCCTTTGTTTTTCATCATATAGTAATAAGTATTTATTAAAGAAAAGCGTTCTGAATTGTTATGAAAAACGTAACAAAGTTCACATGCAAGGTTGTCTAGTCCACCTATTAGTTATTATTTTTTTTATGAGATCTTGATTGTTCATAAGCTTTCGAAGTTGATATTCGTTATCACTGTGCTTTCAGTTGATTCCAGTTCCGAACTTTTCAAAATGAACCTCCTATGCTCTCTGTTTATAGCGACTTTAATTGGAGTAGTCATAGCTAAGAAATTGCGTAAGTGTTTGTTGTCCTTTATTATTTTTAGATCGTTTTTTCAAATTTTCGATTCATATTTTTTGCACAATTTAATGTACTCAAAAATTAAAATTTTTAGAATTACTACATATACTTCTATAAATATATTTATTTATATATTTTTAGGGAAAAATATTTAATATTTTTATACAAAATAAAGATACGTACACACAGAAGATGTGGTTTTAAATCTTGTATTTTTAAAAATTAACAGAAATTAAATATGGTACGAAAAGACATTATAAAACATATTTTTAATTATATTTGGATCACAATGAATCAATGAAATTTTTGTTTCTACGAATAAAAGTTATTCTTTGTAAAAAATTATACTCGACAAAATTTTATAAATACAATCATTGATCCCATCGAGAACAAAGCTTTTTATTCTTGCACACAACTTGCATGTTTTTTTTAAAGAATCTTTACATTTTTCGTAAAATTTTAAAAGTTTTCAACATACAAAATATTATAAATTACAACTCAATATTCGATTGAAAATAATTATTTTTAAATCAAGTGAATATCTGTACAATTTTTTATCCAATGTAGAAATTAAACATGAATTAGATTTGGATATTGTATTTTTTGAATTTTCACACTTTTTGGGCTCATCATAATTATTATTTATTATTTTAGGGTTAAACGCCTAAATTAGTTATAAACTTTTTTGAATCTTTAATGTGCCTTACTGACGATTGATCGTTTTTTCAAAGTCTCAGAACTAGTTTTTCTATAAAATTATCTTAAAGTTTGATTAACAAAAATCTAATAGGTGGTCAAATATTGTTCAATCCTATACTGAATGACATTTTTAAAAATATAAACTTCGGGAGGCCAGCCGGCGCTAAGCCTTTAATTTTTGTTAAATATTGTTTTTGAGGGAATTAAAAAAAATACTGGGTGGTCAAATGCGAATTTCGACTGTGTCAAATTGTGTGGAATTTCATATTAATTCTAAAATAATTTTTTATACGTGTATTGCATCTATTAACTATTTTTATGAAACCAATAACGAAATGCTTTATTTTATGTAACGGAGTAAATATTTACGGGACGAGCAGAGCGAGATCCCGCAACAAGAACGAATTATACATAAAACAGCATTTCGTAACGTGTTACATACAATAATTTGTCTAGATTTTTTTAATAAATTGTCTTTTGATAAAAAATTACTGACATCTAGGCAACTTATATTACTACTTTCTTTTATTATTGTTAGTTGTGTATGATTAATTTTATACTTTTATTGGCAAATAGAGAAAAAAAATATTGATTTATTGTCAACGACTTAGTGGGTTATTTAATCGCGTATTATTCTAATTATTTTGTGCTGATTTAGAATGAAAAACAAGAAAACATATTGGTAGGTTGTTTAACGAAATTATATTTTCATAAGTCAACCAAAAAAGGTTTATTTTTATTTATTTTCTTTTCGTACCTGGTGACATAATGAATTTTTCGAAACCAAAGTAGATCATTTTGAAACTTTGCTGCGATTACAAAAAAATGTCACTTTATAGGTCAACATTAGAATAGTATATTATGCAACGATCATGTAATGATGGTTATTAATACACGAGCATTAACCGGGATACGAAACGAGCCAAAGGCGAGTTTCGTATGGTTTATGCGAGTGTTTTAATAACCATTACATGAGAGTTGCATACGCTATTTTTTCTACACCCGATAAATAATCAAGACCTATAAATATTCTATTTATATTGGTATTGAACACAATAACAGTAATTACTCGTATTTCTATAAAAAATTCTACAAAATTGTAATTAATGGTATTACCTTGGGTATTGGTATTAACACAGATTTTTGGGGCAAAATATTTTGTACTGCATTTTCTCCTTTCTCCTATATGTGTGGAGGAGTCTTCTATATCGCTGATATGCCATTTTAATATTATAATTATCGAAGTTTAGCTATCTACGAAAATTTAATACGTTTTGACAACTAAAACAATTACATAGGAATTTAGGACAAACGTCAAACATCATGCTTGATTGAAAAATTGTAGGTTTCTATTGATTAAAAATCTGTATCATAATGAAAAATCTGTATCATAATGGGTATCATTATGAAACGGATTATGGGCATATAAGTGCATTATTATAATACGGGTGTAGAAAAACGTTTTTATTGTTAACTGTAATTTATTTTTAGCATCTTATCTACAACCGTGTCCAAAATCGGAAAAAGAAGCAGGCCCTTGTATTATAAAAAACGTAAAAATACTTCAACCAAAAATGGAAAAAGGTATTCCCGAGTTACTGATTCCAGCTCTCAATCCTTTAATACTTTCCAAGGCTAACCTGGAAACAGGTAAAAACGTTCATGAAAAAAATGTTTGAAAAAAAGTTTGAAATGCTTCATGTCGGAATAGAAACTTGAGGTGAGTCCGGGGCTACGCACTCTTTTCACTATATTCACTACTAAAGTACCTCTAAGGCGTTCGGGAACGAAAGGAGTTAAAATAAAAGTTCCTTTTTGACCGTTCGGAGATCTTGCAGTGAATGAGTGTGGATCGGGCGCGCATAAGGTGATATAAATCGATAAGATAATTGTGACTAATTCTTAAATAAAAAATAATGCTTTTTATTTGGTTCCCGTGCATACTATTAATATGGAAGAAACTTATACGGTTGTTACTGATAAGTACGATTAGGTTTTAAGTATTAGTATGTCACATTGAATTCTGAGAGTAAAACCCAATGAAGTGGAGAGGGGTAGAATGATGACTGTCAATGAAAAAGTATTCGCGATTCAAGCTAAGTGATACGCCCTCTGGAGGAAATTTGTAGAAGGTCCGAATAAGTAGGATATCGTTCAGTGTTGCCAGAAGTAGCAAAACTTCGCTACGTCGTCGGATTTTAGCTCTGGAAGAAGTGGATAAAACCTTTTATTTAAGAATCAAAATTTGTGTATGTTATGATAATCTATATTTATTTAAGGATTTTTTTATAAAACCGATTTATTATATTGATTTTTTTAAAATTTCAGTTCATTTATTAATTTTGTTTTAAAATCAGTTCATCATTTGGCAACATTGGCGTTCATGTTCATTGTTTACATTTTAATTTGTATCAATTACAAATAGTTTTTTTTTACTTTTTAGCTTTAAATTTGTTTTTTTCTTATAGCATGTGATAGTGTTTATATTAAAAATGAAATCTGTGACGAAGTCCCCAGAAAATTGCAATCTATATGGTGTTAATGTCAAAATCAAAACTGAAGATTCATTATTTTCCAAGTACAAGTCGTAAAATTTTGTTTTTTACGATAAATGGATATCTACAAATTCACAATATTAAAATTTTACGAAACTTTGTTTAGAATCAAACTGAAATCTTATTTTTTGACGGTTTTATTACCATTTACATGTATACAAAGTACTACGTGATTCACTTCATAATATAAGAATAAGTCTAGTAAGATTTTTAAATAAGTTCATCAATAATAAACGTGTGGTACCTGAAATATCCTTTAAACCACATAATACAACATGTTCTGGGTTTAGTGAATACATATTTCTAGATGTTCTTGTAGTAACCAATAGGTAAATATTTCCAACAAATTAAGTCATACACATGATAAATATTATATTTATGACGAAAGCACGAGACTTAAACTTAAATTAACACTAAATGAAACTCAAAAACACTATTACAATGAGAATATTATCTAAAAACAGTTAAAAAAATCACAAATACAAAATCCGTCCAAAACAAAAACATGTAAATAAACAAACATCCTACTTATAGATGACAAATGACAGGCGCGCGAAAATTAATTTGAATCGCCAATAGACACTATGCACAATTTCGTTTTGTACATTTTGTAAACATGATTCAGGGACGGTTTAACAACATTTTCTGCCTCAATTATAAAATAGTGCATCGGAAAATAATTAACAAGTATAATTTAATACTAAATCGAAATCAAAGGACAAAATTACAAATATAAGCAAGATAACAAAGATTTGACGCAAAAAGAGAATAAAACAGCCACAACACAAAAAACAGAGCTGAACTTGAACATAATCGCTGAACAAAGCCAATCCTGGAATTTGATTAGTGTTTTAGAGCAACCTCTCCTGGTCATTTACGCGTGTAAAAGTGGAAAGTTGAATCATGCATAATTTTTACTAGGATTGCCAGACGTCACACTTTAGGCGTGGCAGTCACGCTTTTTGACTTGCCTGTAAGCTTTTTATGCAAATTCCACGCTTTTTAAAAGCCGCAGAGGAATCAGATTTATACAAAAATAGACCAGGTTAACGACCTCTATCGTCACGGTTGCCACGCTTTTCATTTCCGGAAATGTGGCAACCCTAATTTCTACACTCTACTTCTTTGGTAAAATGTAAAATCATATGCGCACTCCGTTTACGCTTTCTTACTCCACTCCACGCTGGAGTGCGCAGCCCGAACTCACCTAGTATTGTCGTTTACAATAATGATGAACAGAGTTTTTAATATTTTTTGTAAAACTGTTTGTAATTATTCAAACAAGCGATTTTTAATATATTTTTAATAAAAAAAGTACTACATTTTTCTTAAAAATAAATACACCTATAGGTGTAATCGGCCACTTTATTGAAAATTTCATTAGGATTGCCGATTACACCTGTACGTGTACGTCCAGTCATGATAAGAATTTTATTTTTTGTGGTAAATATAACAACAATCTACACAAAAACCAGGACTTCCATCACAAGCGTTGCACACATACAGTGTTGCCTTTCTTCTCTTCTGACTTCTGCAAACTTTGCATTCTTTTCTTACAATTCTTTTGGCAACTTTGAAACTTGATATTTTTCTTCCTTCATGTTTTCTATTTTTTCAAGTTTATGATCATCTTGGAAAACTTTTGGTTCAATCAAAATTTCTGGCAATAATGCTTCCGCAACAGAACGTATAAATTTATAAAAAGACAATTTAGATTTTCTGGATTCCCCAGAATACATTTTAAATAAAATGTGGGCTTTGTTAAGGCTCATTTGCACAATGCGAATAAATATTTTTTATACCACCGTAAAGTTTTACGTACGCAGGGATAATATGATAACATCTGATCATGACGATCAATGCCAGACATATGCTGAATGTACTTATTAATTGCCAGTGGTTTTAAGGTTTCTCCTCTTCGATTTGTACTCTCTGTCATCGCGTCCCAAAATCAGTGCTACCGTTTATCTTTCCACTTCCCAATGTGTACATTATTATTAAAAAGGGACTTATTCTCACCTTTACTTAATTTTTCTTGTACAACTTCCTTTGGATTAGATTTTCTTCGTTTATCTAAAGTGCTAGTACAATAAGTTCCCTTTTCATGAAGTTCTGCTGCAAGCTCGTGGTTAAATGCGGAAGTTGAAATATGCCAGTAAGAAGTAATAGCCCCAAGAATGTTTTCAATTCCAATCAAGTTAAATCTTTCCACGCATATCGGTTGGTGTTTTCCACAATAAGATTTAATAGGCCTTCATCAATAAATAACAAAAAGAATCAATACCCTTTTTACTGGTAAGATTAACTTAAAATAAACGATTACCCTTAAATTTAATATTTTTTATATTTTCTTGACTTAGGTACATATTTTGACTGAGCAGTGTGAGTTGGAAGTGCTTCCATTTTCTATATTTTCCATCTCATAATCGTCATCGTCACTATCACATCGTCACTTTCTGGGAAAACATCATCTGTTTCATCTAATATCCATATGGGTGTAGAAAAAATATAATATCATTATTAATTTTTCTTTGAAATATATTTTTCAGACAAAATCAGAGCCGTATTTAAAGACAGCAAGTTATACAATTTGCATATGTTCGAATTAAAAAAATTAACATTGGATTTGGGAACTCTCGACGTAGATATTGCAATCAATTTTCCAGCAATTTATACTAACGCAGAATATAGTCTTAACGGAAAAATCCTGGTTTTGGAAATTAATAGTAAAGGAAGAGCGGAAGGAAATTTCAGTGAGTATCGTCGATACTTTGGTATTGTATAAATTCTGTACGTAAGTATAAATACACATTATGTATTTCAAATCTATTCAAACATATATTATTAAAATTATTAATTAGGTATGCATAAAAACAAAGCGTCTAAAGTTCTATGAAAAGAAAATGATCTATTTTTCTAATGTTTACAAACTTATTTTAATTATGTATTTTAACAAATTATAATAATTATATAGTACCTAGTAGGTATTAGACATTCTTATGATTTAACTAGGTAGAATTCAATGTCAAATGCGTGTCATTAAAATTAATTTAAATTATTTTAGAGAAATTTTTAGAGCATTATCATAAAATAATATATTATGTTTTTGCGAAAAAATACCGAATGCGATTGAATAAATTTCAAAGATTTATTTCACACTATAAACAGCGAATTTTATTATTTTATATTTTTAAATTTAATTCAAAATGGCGATGATGATGAAATAATAATGATTGGTTTTAGCCGATTTATCAGCCGAATTTAAGGGGAAAATGGAATTGTATGACAAAAACGGCAAAAAACATTTAAAAATAGCCAAAACCGATATTGATTTGACCATCAAAAATGCCAGTATGTACTTCTCCGATTTATTTCCAAATAATGAGGAACTTACCATAAACGCCAATAAGTAAGTATAATTATTATTAAGAGCGCGTTTAACACGGTAATTCTTTTATATGATCACAGAAAACGCAATCGATTTTATAAACGAATGGTACTGAGGTAAAAAAATCTGATGTGTCCAACACATGACTTTCCTATCTAGTTATTATAGGTTTTTTCCGGTTATTTTGTACAACCTATTGCAGCACCTCTATAAATGTTTAGAGGATAAACTAAATATATACATTTTCCACATACATCTTACTCGAAACATTTTTCTATAGATATTCATTGAAAACGAAAATACTGAAAAATTTAAATTTAGCACTTTTAGAAAAATTTATAGAGATCGATATCACAAATAACTTTTATTTAAACAATTTTCCTAAAAATTTGAATTTTATTACATTTTGTCAAATTTCTCGAATACGGACCATTTAAAAAAAAAATTGTATAAAATTATAGATAATAATATTGTTAGTAATTTTTATCTGAACAATTTTCTTCTCCAAACATCAATAACAGATATATTCCATAAAATATAAAAACGGCCTCCCATAAAGTACCCCCCTAAATGCTCCGCCTTCGACCAAAATATAATCATTTTACCTCAGGCCAAAATAAAATTTAATGTGTTTTCCTTTATCCGTTTTTGAGTTTTCTTCAAAATTCGAAATTTACACATTTTCTCAAATATGTCGAATACGGTCCATTTCAGAGAAATTATGTATGGGATAAAAATTATAGAGAATTATATTACAAACAACTTTTATTTGAACAATTTTTATAAAAAAATATTTTTTTTACATTTTGTCAAATTTCTCGAATACGGACCATTTTAGGAAAATTTTGTATATAACAAAAATTATAGACAATAATATTGTAAGTAACTTTTATTTGAGAAATTTTCTTCTCAAAATGTAAATAACGGATATATTTAATAAAATATAAAAATGACCACCAATAAAGTACCACCCCCCGAAATGTTCCGACTCTGCTCAAAATCTAATCAGTTCACCGCAGGCTGGAATAAAGCTTAAGTTTAAAATTTGGTGTTTTTCGTTGTATCGGTTCATGAGTTATGGTGGATACACACACAGACATACACATACACACAGACACACTGACACACAGACACACATACACTGACACACAGACACACACAGACATCATCCCGAAAATAGTCAAAACGGATTCAGGGGACCCCAAAACGTAAAAATCCGTCGAAAACTGGAGGTCGAAAAAAATCATGATTCCTATACTTTCCTTATCTGCATACAGATGTGCGGTGGAGACATCAAGATCCACAGTTCAAACGACGATAGAAAGAAGATACTCCTATATATAAAAAAGTTCGGTATTGCGGTCATAATAGATGTACGACCCCCAGGGACTCAATGCTCGACTTTTATTCCCATGGGAAATTACAGTTTTTCCCATGGGAATTCAGTTTTTGTATTCTCGATATGAGCGGTGGAATAAATTCCAATGAGAAGTATGGAAAAATATTCCCCTGCTTACGAGCATTGGAAATTGTGTTGTACTAGAGTTTGCGCATTAAAGTCGAAAATGTGATAAAAGACTAACACACATAACCAAAGATTTTTGATAATCTTGGATTTTTGGTGAAATTGTAGTTAAAACATTTTTTGGCGTGTTTATTAATTTTTACTTGCTTGTCTTAAAATCAAAGCATATCTACGATTTTTACTTTCCTATCTGTATACAGATATAAGGAAAGTATAGGAATCATGATTTTTTTCGACCTCGAGTTTTCGACGGATTTTTACGTTTTGAGGTCCCCTGAATCCGTTTTGACTATTTTCGCGATGATGTCTGTGTGTGTGTCTGTGTGTGTGTCTGTGTGTGTGTGTGTGTGTGTCTGTATAACGCATAACTCATGAACCGATACACAGAAAAACACCAAATTTTAAACTTAAGCTTTGTTTCAGCGTCTAATGAGCTGATTAGATTTTGGGCAGAGTCGGAACATTTGGGGGGGTACTTTATAGGTGGTCATTTTTATATTTTATGGAATATATCTGTTATTTACGTTTGGAGAAGAAAATTCTTTAAATAAAAGTTACTTCTAATATTATTATCTATAATTTTTGTTTTATACAAAATTTTCCTAAAATGGTCCGTATTCGAGAAATTTGACAAAATGTAAAAAAAATATTTTTTTATAAAAATTTTTCAAATAAAAGTTGTTTGTAATATAATTCTCTATAATTTTAATTCTCTACATAATTTCTCTAAAATGGACCGTATTCGAGATATTTGAGAAAATGTGTAAATTTTGAATTTTGAAAAAAACTCAAAAACGGATAAAGAAAAAAACATTAAATTTTAAACTTAAGGTTTATTTCGGCCTGACGTGAAATGATTAGATTTTGGACAAAGTCGGAACATCTGGGGGGTACTTTATGGGAGGCCGTTTTTATATTTTATGGAATATATCTGTTATTTATGTTTGGAGAGGAAAATTGTTCAAATAAAAGTTACTTCTAATATTATTATCTGTAATTTTTGTTTTATGTAAAAATTTCCTGAAATGGTCCGTATTCGAGAAATTTGACAAAACGTGCAAAATTCTGATTTTTATTATGAAAGTTTTTGAAATAAAAGTTGTTTGCGATATCGATCTCTATAATTTTTGTTTATACATGATTTTTCTAAAATGGACCGTAATGAAAAAATTGTAGGAAATTAAAATTTTTCAGTATTTTCGTTTTCCATGAATATAGAAAAATGTTTCGAGGTAGATGTATGTGGACAATGTATATATTTAGTTTATCCTCTAAATATTTATATAACTAGATAGGAAAGTCATGTGTTGGACACATCAGATTTTTTATGGTGTTATCACACCATGCATAGTTAACCGTTTGACTCACGTTGACCCAAGTCTCATTTAAATAGATATGTCGTTTAGGTTCTAACATTATACTTTTAAGACCACGCTTCACATATTCGAAAACAACATATCTTTCCTCCTAGGGTTCTTAAAAAGAACGATGGTGAACTCTCATTCCCTCGAATAATATTATAAATTGTAATCTATGTTGGCGGAATTTTTAAAATAAATTGTGCTCAATAAGCTCTTAAAACCCTCATATGTATATTCGCTAGAATGTGACTGCCTTAACCGCTTTTTCTTCTTGCAGGAGATTTCCATTAGTCATTGTTTTGTTTCTCCTCTTTCTTGATAATATAAATTGGTGTTTCACTGACCCCAATCATTTTGGAAGCACGACTTACCGATGCAGTCACACTCAATTTATCGTCACCGACTAAATAACAAATCACAAAAAAAAATAATTAAAATGATAACCCACACAATTCTATTTTTTTACAGGGTATTGAACGAAAATGCGCTAGAGGTGATAAAGGATTTTATGCCTGTGCTTACGGAAGTCATCAAGAGTATAGTGATCGGCATTACCAACAACATTTTCCAAAAATTCAGTTTTGACGAATTATTCCCATAATAATTATTAGTTATTCATTAGAATTGATTGTATAATAAAATTACTGAAATATTTAGTTTTTATTATGTATTTATTAGGTACATTAAACATATCCAAATAAAAACCTGTTAAAATTTATTTTTTGTTGTTTGAAATGAGCAGTTCTAGAGAATAATTATTATTTGTAATTGCATGTACATTTAAAGTGATCAGACTAAAAGATATTTTAGGTATCTTACTAACAATACTAATTAACGCGTTATGTGTTGCTAAAATAGTTAAATAGACAATAAACGACTTCTCGTAAATAACTTTGTCTAGTCATACTTTCATAAATTTTTCTAGACATAAACAATAGCTGTATATGTATTTCATAAAATACATTTGCACAGTTAAATCTCACGCCAAGTTTTTTATATCATTTAAATTGTATATTGTAATAAATTGATGGGTTTGATTTAATTTAAATTTAATTTCTTCTTTTTAGAGCATTTAAATAAAGTTGTTTTTAAAATTGTTTTTCTTTTCGCGAGCTCTCCCTCTGCAGCGCAGTTATACCCAAATATTTTGCTGTCGCCCAGGGTATTTGGGTATTATATTCTTATTGGAACATTTTGCGCTCTAAGACGTATAAATACGCATCCGTATTAGATTCATGCTCAAATAAATCCGTAAGAGTAGAGAAGATTTTAGATCGAATAAATTCGATAATTTCAACACTGTCATTTTCAAAACATTCGATGTAATTTGGAGATATAGACCCATACTAATATACATTTTCGGAATCTACGCGACGCGTTTTATAAGATGACATGACAAACAGTCATTTTAAATTGGTTACTGTGATGCTGTATGCAAACCTTAGATAAAAGAGACCAGAGATATAACATACACTGGTGTTTAACCTGCGCAAATGTTGCCAATTTCTAAAGAAAGGTTAACGGAGTGGGGGAACTGGGCAGGGACTCGAACTCTGTGACAGGGACCGGACTTTGTTTATTAGCATCATAATGAACTATTAGATTTATTTAAAATATACGTTTAATGGAATTTTGTATTATGAAATAAATTTAACGTGATTTTTTAATATCAAACAGATGCCACGACATTTTATGTAAAGAGAAGACCTTTTATAGAATATTTCGTTAGCTATTATTTACTATGGACTTTTCTGTAAGAGACTACAGTAAAATGTTGAAATAGAATATTGTTAATCGAGTAAGAAATGGTACTCATTGTCTAAGAGTATTATAAAAAAGCATGTGCGCAGGCGAATACTGCAAATCAAACCTTGTGAGTTGAAGATTATATTTTTTCTACGACTATCACATAATATTAAAATTTAGTCAAATTGAGAAAATGCTGTTTTGTATTATAACCTCAGAAAAAGATATATTAAAGCTTGTTTCTTTAGGAATATTAATTAATATAAAGGATGCGTCACATAAAACTCTAGAAATGTATATGTCTGAAACCAGATAACATTTTAAAATTAAAATTAAAAGTCATTTGGTCGCTAGGAGTGGGTGATTATCGAAATAAATTATTGATCATTAATAATAATCGATTATTTTCGATCAATCGATTATTTTCAAACAATCTATTTTTCTTCGTATTTCCTTTAAAATAGACCACTTGATTATCTTTAAAAAATCAAAAAAAATAGATTAATTAAAAAGCCAATTAACCGATAAATCAGTGTTTACAAAAAATAATAAACGAATTATCGTTTATTTTAAATAATCGATTATTTTTAATTTCTATTTTTTTTTTCGTATTTCCATTGAAACAGATTATTCGATAATCTTTGAAAAATCTAAAACAATCGATTAATCAAAAATAATCGATTAATTAAAAAGTCGAATAATCTATAAATCGATTTTTCAAAAAAAAAAAAAAAAAAAAAAAAAAAAATTATTTCCTTTAAAATCAATTATTCGATCATTTTTGAAACATCGAAAATAATCGATTAACGGAAAATAACCAATTAATTAAGAAGATTCTACGATAAATCGATTTTCCAAAAAAAAAACTGAATAATTATTGATTAATTACAAATAATCCTTTTCTTTTTTTATATTCCTTTTAAAACTGATTATTTAATTTTCTTTGAAAAATCGAAAATAATTGATTAATAAAAAGCTGATTTACCGATAAATCAATAATTCTAAAAAATAACCGAAATATCGATTATATAATATAACCGATTATATTCGATCAATCGATTATTTTTATATAATCTATTTTTTGTATTTTAAAACAAATTATTCGAATACCTTTGAGAAATCGAAAATAATCGATTAATCTAAAATAATCGATTAATCGAAAATAATCGATTAATTTAAAAAGTCTATTAAACAATAAATCGATTTTTTCTAAAAAAATCGATTATTTTCAATAAATCGATTATTTTGAATAAATCTACTCTCTTTTTGTAATTCCTTTATAATCGATTATTCAATTACCTAAAAAAACGAAAAAAATGTTCGATTAATCAAAAATAATCTATTAAAGATAATCGATTAATTATAACGGATAAATCGATTTTCATGAAAACGATAAATCGATTACTTTTGTAACCCCTATCGGTCGCATGCTTTTATCAGAGCATTTAGCTCCAAAATTTAGAGATTCGGATTTATTGATCCTGTTATCTTTGAAACCGCATTCGATTGTATAATGAATATTGCTAGAATTTATATTTTTTTAGTAAACGAAGATATTTTTCGAGTTGTTTAGGGGTTTATAATGTAACATTTTACTAATAATATGACTAATTTCCGTAACTTTAGTATTTTTTGCTTATACTAGATCATATTGCGCGTTTTACTTTGTTTTAAGATTCAAATGTCACTTCCGATTTAACCGCAAATAAAATAAACCTTGAAATTTTAAGTAGGTGAACCTGTATTTCATCTAATATTCTTGTAAAAATATCTAATAAAGGGCTAAAAACCACTTTTAGTAAATATTCTTATAAAACTACATTTTAAAAACAAAATTTCGTTAGTAACAATGTCTATTTACTTCTTATTTTGATTAAATATTTATTGAAACCCCTTAATGCGGATCTGAAGTATTCAGCTCATAGAATCATGGCGACTTTATGTCAAAACGTCAACAAATATTTCCCGCTGAAAACGAATATATTTCTTATTTTTCATAACATTGACACATATTATTTGTATATACAATTTTTCACCATACATCGTGGCATTTTCAACTTGAAATTGAATAACTAAAACACTTTAAATTGCTAATAACACCAACAAATAATTCAAAAACGGCGGTCCATAAATGATTTACTCACGCGGAGACAAGCAAAGAATAGAAATTTCGGAGCAATTCGGGTGGCGTCGTGAACACAATGATTTTTAATTGGTGGGTTACTTAGGTTTGGAATAGACAACATGCGCAATGTGCAATGTTACATCTCCGGTCTCTTTTATCTAAGCCCAAAATCTATCAAGTAATTATGTTCTTTGCAACATGTCACATCATTTGTAGGATTGTAAGTCGAATTTTATGAATTTTAATCTTGTACACTGTCAATTTTTAGTTCTTCCCAATTTGATTGGCTACTAGTATACAAAACTTATATCCTTTTTATATAAATTGGAATTTTTGTATTTTTTGTAAAATCCGAACACAATGACCCAAACAGCACAGTACGTCTTAAGTACGTACAGTTTTGGTACTGTACGTACAGGACGTAAAATGTACGTTTTAAGTACGTACACAACAGTACGTACCAGTACGTACACAACAGTACGTACCAGTACGTACAGAAAAGTACGTACTAAGTACGTACCTAAGGGTACGTAATCCTGGTTGCATACCTATTTTATTAAAAAACCTATGTTTTTACCAAATTTCTGTTGACCGTAGGCCAAAAAATGCAAAAAAAAGACGAAACCCAATTTATTTAACCTAACCTAAACTCTAAACTAAACTCGCTCGTTTTTGTTAGTTTTTCATGTTTAGGATTTAACTATTAAGTGTTTTATTAAATAAATAGTTGTGTATAATTTATTATAATTGAACAAGACAATTATTTAGACTTTTTAGTGCGTGTTATAAGTACGTAGTTTCGTCATTTTATTCTGGTGAGTTGTTTCATTTTAATTTTAAAAAATTATGTGTAATAAATATAATTTATAGATATGTCATCCCATCCCATAGTAAAAATTACAAAAATGCTACAAAACAATTAAAAAAGTTTAAGGAAATAATATTTTAGACAAAAGAAGTGATATTTTACAGACCCTAATAATTTAATTTTGGATTTTGTCAAAAGGACTATTGCTGGTGCCTTAATAACTAATAAGCTGGCAACAAATTATAATTGGCTGCAGTTGAAGTGGGTAAGATGTTTTAATTTTTTATTTTTGCATGCCAGTTTTCATAAAGTCGTTGCATTAAAACCCATCTATCTAGTCACAATTATTTTTGTATCTAATGAAATTGTGTACTTCCAACCATTGGACTTCAAAACTGATGGAGATCTAGCTTAAGGTTTATCTTACCCGACCAAAAAATTAATCTTATGTTCAAAAATTTTCAAAAAATTCACCTAACTTACTTATCAAATAAGTAACTAATGGACAAATTTTGAAAAAAATCTGGTAAGCCGTTTTTGAGAAAAAAAATGTTTTGTTCAAAAATTCAAGTATGTAAAAAAGTTATCTTTCATCAGATTTTTTTCAAAATTGTTCTATGCGATCTCTATGTCATTGTTATACTGGAAGAATTTTTCTAAAATTTTTAAACTTACAGTTTTTTTATAAATAATAATATTATTATTATTTCACAATAAATTATCGTTAAAACTTTTATAAACGTACAAAATTAGTCTATTTCCTGTTATTATAACTTTTTGTTGCTTTACACACTACCTAAAATTTATTCTAAACACTGAATAATCGTAAAAAGTGAATAAAAATGTTTTAATTTATTAAATATTTTTAAATTTGGAACCTAAAACATTAGTCCAGTTGGTGCTGCTAGGAATATATATTGAATTAACGTTTCTGAATCTACCCACTTGGATGTATCGTGACCGGCGAAATTTTTACGATGTTGCCAAATCAAATTACATATCAGAGAATATATGATATTACAGAATGGTTATTATAACG